TGTAGATTAATTTTTTAATCTTATTCAGCTAACTTTTTCTGGTTCCAAGAACTAAAACTAAATAGAATTACATTGACAGAAATGTTCATAAAAGTTGTAGAGAGTAAAGGAAATCGCCAGTACGTGAATGTACGTACGTCAATTGTTCAATTTTCACTTCAAACAACGAAGGTCCGAATAATCGAACATGCATTGTCAAACCTTCGCACTGTTGTTAGAGGAAAAAGATGTGCAACGAAAAAGCGAACATGGAAGCGCAATGTTTATCATCAACACCGCTCTAAAATTTGTTAACGACTTATCGGAACAATAAGCCTTTGCTTTCCGACATTTTATCTTGGGATAACATAAATAATAAAGTTATATAGAATTAAAGAATTTTTTTACTGATTAATATCGTTCGCCGTGTATAAGCTATCTTAACGAGATATTTCGTCGATGCGAGTGTGCAAACGATTGTCTGGAAGAATTAATTTTATACCCAGAACATATATATATTCTCTAAATTCTTTGAAATGGCATCTCACTCTAAAGAGTGAAAATTGAGCCAATCTTGAAAAAAAATGCCTTTATAAGAGATTTCTCTCTTTAGAATGAGATTCACTCCATAAGTTTTAGAGTAGAAAAACGCGTTTTTCTCTCTGTCTCTATTAGCACTTATTCCAAAACTTATTAAATAGCGATTCATTCCTTCATTTTCTCTTCTTCTCTCTTCTCAAATTAGCGAGATTCCCGGCTTTCAAAATATTATATTCTAAATCCAGGAGAGTAGTGAAATTACACAGTAAACAAACTGATGATATTTGTTGTCATTTTGACGTCAAAATGACATTAAAGACATTTTAATGTCAAAATGACAATAAATAACATCCGCTTATTTGCTGACTAATTCACATCATGATACACCTATTAAATACGTATACTAAATTGATATTCTTTCTCATCTTTTTCTTATTCTTGTTCAAATCGAATAATTCACTTCGTTTTCTATCATTCATTGCTCCTGAAGATTTTTGCTTTTTTTTTCTTTTAAATATTTGTTTTGACATAAAGCTATAATGCATTATTTTTACTTCTTTTTATCATCGATTTTCCGATCATCTAACTCGTAATATACCTAATTATTTTTTTTCTCATTCTCTTCTTAATTATACTATATAGATTTCCATTTTCCAAGAGTATTTTACCCTGTTATCTTGGAATTTATTTTTTTATTTATTCTTTTAGTATAGGGAACACTTACTCATACTAAAAATTCCTTACGTCATATATTCCATAGATTTGTCTGACAAATCACACGAGCTTCGGAAAAAGGACAGGAGATATAGACAACAGAAAGTGGAAAAAATGTCACAACGTTCCTCCGCATTCTTTTTTCAGCTTAATGCACAGTTTTTTTAACATTCTCATTTTAACGCTAGCATCGTAAAAGCGCATATCGTGCAGCTGGCACTTCTGGCTTCTCATTTGCATCATTAAAACGAAAGCCTCGAGAGAAGGAACGAAGCGACTGTCGTGAAAAGTGTTAGCAGAATACAACATCTCTCATGAAATCACGCAGAAAAGGAAAGGACAATGAAAATCTTTCTTGGGGGATTTAAAAGCTATTGATATACACTTGGCAGTGTTAAAAAATACTTATATGGCTTGACACGAACGGTCGCATTATCACCGGATAAAGGAACCAGCTAACTTCGAGCGACTTGCTCAAGTATCTCGGAAGCGACATCTAAAGATGCAACATGAGGAACGACGGAAGAATACCATTGTCGGTAGAAAGGAAGATTTATGACAATCTCTCAGTCTCCTCGCAGACTGAAGTGTAGAAGCCAATGCTTCGGTGCAATCGATCTTGACTCGTTTAGACTTCATTCATCCTATTATACAAGTAATAATTTTTCAATTATATCTTGTACTAAAAATATTAAACACATACATTTTATACATACATTTTGTAATTAATAAATAATGAACTTAAGAAATATATACATTTTTTCCTAATATTTTGCCTGAATTTATATGCATCCATAAGCTATTTTTTAATAAAGTTGAAAATTTTTTAGTTATAAAAAATCCTAATAGAAATGGAATCCTTGAGAAGTGTTAATTTTATAATTGGAAAAGCAGTTCTCATTACAAATTTGACTTAAAGTAACACACACTGCTAGCCAAAAATTCGAAACTACATATAAGATTCAAAAATATTCTTGTGAAATACAATTTAAAAATAGTGAAACTATTTAAAAATAGACATAATATTTAGCATATCATTATTAATTAAAAAAAAATAGATTACGGTTATATAGAGCTTTTTTCCCCAAAACTAACAATAAACTATAAGCTATTTTAAAAGAGACGGAAAATTCTTTAAAAAATAAATAAATATATTATCTACATTACTTAAAAAATTGATTAAATAAATTAATTATATATTAAATATATATTAAGAAGGTTACGAAGTAGAAACAAAAATGTAAGTGCTAAGCAAATATAATAAGCGTTAAAACAAATTAAAACAAAAATAAATAGACATGAATATAAAACAAATGGCGTTTCGACTCCAATCGGGTCATTATCGATATATTAATGTTAGACGTATAAAAAACTTCCAATAAATTAATAATATAAATATATTTAAAATAGCAACGACTTATAACTAAAAATTATAATCTACGAAAATAAAAACTTTTGTAATTAAACTGATTGCAGCTGGATGTACAAAAAGGTAATAAAATAACATTATGGTTATCGCAACAGTATTAAAAATATTGCTATTGTATCCAATGGAGATCATCTTTGTAATTGTCTGGTACAAAGAAAACGCTATAGACATGTCGCAATATGTTAGTTAATATATTAAGTTCATATTGATGAGAAAAATAGCTAATAAAATAGTAACCAAATGATTACCGTTTTGGATATCAAGGAAGCTCCATCACAATTTGTTGATTTATTTTATTGTTGTATATATATCGATATATTGTTTGTATTTCGAGTTTTAAACCTTTTATTCCTACCAATATTTTTATATTCTGATTGATATCATTTTATTTAATATTGAAACTAATTTTAAGACTGACTGCTTTTTGAATCTTAAATTTTTAAACAATCGATATTATATTTTTTCACATTCTGACTGATGTTATTAATACTTAGCATTGAAAATATTTTGAAGACTGTTTTATCTATTTTTTAGCTATTTTTCATCACACGTAACATGAACTTAATATTAATTAACTAACATATTGTGATATGTCTATAGTGAGTTTTCTCTGTACCATGTTGCAGACAATTACAAAGATAATCTCTATTGAATACAACAGCAATATTTTTAATACCAATGCGATAACCATATATAATATGTTATTTTACTACCTTTTTATATCCAGCTGAAGTCAATACAATTACAAAAATTTTTATTTTCGTAGTTTGTAATTTTTAATTATAGGCTGTTGCTATTTCAAATATGTTTATACTATTAATTTATTGAAAGTTTTTACACGTCTAACATTGATAATGACCCGATCAGAGTCGAAACGCCGTTTGTTTTATATTCATTTCTATTTATTTTTATTTTAATTTGTTTTAGCGCTTACTAATATACTTGCTTAGCACTTACATTTTTTTTGTGTTTTCTTAGTTTTAACCCTTCTTAATATATATTTAATTAATTTATTATCTAAACCGTTCATGCGTTGAACACATCATGCGTTTTTGATTAAATAAAGCTATTTCGACAAAATAAGTATGTATTTTTTAGTAGTACTTTTTATTAAAAATATTTTTATAGGACTTTAATTTTTTATGTTACTTTTTATTTTATTATAAAATAATAAATAAAATAATAAAAATGTTAAATTATAGTCCTTAAGTCTGATTTTCTTTCATGCAGTAAAAAATTTTAACTAAAATTCCGGAAAAAAATGTTTCATGTATAATTATATATAATTATATATAATTATATAAAATTATATATAAAATGTGTCTAAATATATAACATTTGTTTCCCAAGATCTTAAGCTCTTAGGTTTTTTGTATAATGTAGATACAAGTATTAATTATTTGCCTCTGGCAATAAGAGTTTACATCATTAATAAAAAAAGGTCCAGTTTTGTATCAATATTTTTTCAGAGAATCTCGTTGCTGAAACTAATGATGCTTTCCAGCAAGCGACACAGTGTGACACACATAATGATCATATCATCTTCGTTTAACATTAGTAAACAACAAGGATGTAATGATTCATTATGTTACACTGTGTATCATCTATGTCTCTTGTTGGAAAGTATCCTAAATCTATAATATATAAATATACTCATGTCCGTTTCTATCAATGTAATTTAATTTTAATCTCGATTCAATTAACTCTTTTTCAATTCCATCAAAAGAGTTAGTTAAAAGATTAAATCAAAGAACAATGTATGATCTGTAGTATGGAATCAACTCAGCGCGAAAAGAGAATGCGCGATTCAAACAAGCTTGCAAATGAATAAATAAATTTGTTTCAATATATGCGAATAGTGTCACAAATTCAAACGAATCAAGAATCATTACATCGAAGAATATGTTTCATCTTTTCTTTTATCAAAAGAAAGTGGCTCACTGCATTCGTTCATGTTCATTTGTTTATCTTTGCTAGTTTAATCTGGATCGATCCATCTTTGCATCCATAGTCACACAGTTCAGATCCTACAAGTCTACTCGACAGACCGATCTCGGCGCTCACCAGTTTCGCAGTTTTCCCTCACTCTTTTCTGATACGCACACATATTTCCCATCTCTCTAAAAGGAAAGTAGAACGCTTTAACGTTACTCACACTCAGGCTTCAAGTATACCGACTTGACCGTCTCAGAAATACAAAATATCTTTATATATAGTCTTTCTGAGTCGATCATAACATAATACATTTATCGAAATACGATCATTGATGAGCTTTAACAAGTCAATACAGAGATTACAATCGAAGATCTAGTCAATAATGTATATAAAATGGTCCACGAGAGTAGAGAGAAAGAGAGAATGAAAGAGAGAACACGCGAATAACTTTTAAATTCGAAGAAGTTGGATACAATTTGTACAATTTTAAGAGAAAAGTTCAGAATTTTATTCGGGTGTTCCCGTTTCCGGTAGGATCTTTTCTCTGTTCTAGAAAGTTGAAGAATATGAAAGAAACGAGTATTCTCTCTTTGTCTTACAATTTTAGTAATCTTCATTTACCCATACCAACCAGCGCCTCGTCCATAAGTTCGTCGTCGGTGATGCAAGGTGACGCGGACGAATGGGGTGAGGGTGGGATCACTCGGGGACTCGGTGCCGGACTCTTGACAATGTGCACACTGACGGACGGACTAGCAGCAGGCGGGAACGGAGCAGGAAGTGGCGGCGGAGGCGGTGGCGGTGGCGGTGTATTGCGACGCACCGTCGGCGCTGCCTGGGTCATCGCCCGCTCCGGAATCGTCGTCAAATGGTGCTGCGTTAACGACACTGGCAGACCATGGCTTCCCTTCGTCATAGAATCTTTGTTCGCCGCGGAGAAGTCCAATAGCATCTCCGCCGCAGCTGCCGCTGCCGCCACTTCCTGTTCACCACTACCATTACTGCCACCACCGCCGCCGCTGTCGGACGTCATGACGGGATTACCGTCTGATGAAGTCGCGACGCTGGCTAGCGACGAAAAAATCAACGATGATGAAGATGATGATGATGATGAGGAAGATGATGATAACGATGCGGATGATGTCTGCTGCTGTTTCTTCTCCTCTACGGTGATCTTATTATATTTAGTTTGCAGAACTGCCTGGTCAGCAGGTTTGGTACTCAGATTTAGACTCTCGGCAACGATAGCGCCACTCGACGCGGTTGAGGTGTTGGAGCTTGTCATGGTTCCATAGGACTTGGCGCCTGATGACGTCAACTGATCGGAAACGTTACTCTTGGAGAGAATTCCACCGACGTTTGTGTCATCGATCTTACCGAGAAATTGCTGACCAGTGGATGTTTGTCTCATTCCTAAATCTTTGCACGAGTCGCGGGATGGTTCATTATCCACCATCGGTTGGATGCACAGATTCGTAGGTACATCGGAATCAGCAGTCGATTGTGGAGGCAGCATCAAACCGGTGTTCTCCCCAACGAGATTCAAAGATATCGCGCTGGCAGCGGATGTTGTGATCGACAGATTGTCTGGTTTATTTTGCGAATGGTCCCGTCTTGATTGATCGTCTGGCTGTGATGATTTGGATACTGATACAGTGATATTGGACAGACCAGCGATCTTGCTCTGTTCTTGTTTCAGACCATCGAGGGTCTGTTTAGTGGAATCGGGCAGTATCGACAACTTGTCCGATGATTTGTTCTTATCGGCATCAGCGACATTCGCACGAGCCGACAGTTTCGGTATCTGAAACTTAGTGTCTAGTTGCTTCATTAGACCTTCCATCATTAGTTGAGGTGGCAAACTTGGCGGAAGGTTAGAGATAGACGCGTGCGCTGCTAGCAACTTGAACGCGCGCTCGCTTTCGCTCTCTTCGCGCAGAGCGGATGGGCTCGATTTTCTGGCATCACCGAGGCCTTTCGACGCAAATATTCCCTTGTCGCCAGATTTTGAGATTCTAGGTTTATCTCGACCACGGCTCAAATCAGTCACACCAGAACTCGTCTTCGGTGAACCAGAAGCTTTGGAGGATGAACTCTTTGATAAGGGATTTCCTCCAACGCCTCCTGTTGCAGATGCCGTGATACCCGCACCAGTGCCAGTATTCGTCGCGCCCGAAGAAGAAATAGCGGATTTCATACCGGCGGCGGCCAACATCATCTTCGTGGGTAGCATTTTCTGTGTAGCCTGTAACGTTTGTGGCTTCTTTGATGCCGGTCCAGAATTTACACCAGGTTTGAGACCCGTATGTGTCTTTGGCGAACCATTGTTGCCAGTGATTACGTTACTGGATGATGATGATGACGATGATGAAGAAGCCACGGACGATAAAGAGCTCGAAGATGAAGTTGCCGCCATTGATCCCGATGACGACAGCTTCAAGTTGGCGGCTTGCTTAGAATCTTTAGTACGAGTTTTGTTGATAGTAATCTTTATCCCATCTGAGCTGTGCTTCACCATGTATTCGCCGGGATTCTTCGTATCTATGGACGCATTTTTGGTGACACAAGATTTTCCTCCTTCTCCAATAGTCTTTCCTCCACTCGACGACGATGAACCACTGCCGCCAATATTCTTCTCTTTCTGTCCAGCGCTACTCATTCCACCAGTACTGCTAAGACCGGAGGATCCACTGCCTTTCACGTTACCTCCACCGTTTCCACAAGCATCCGTTTCGGTACAATGCTGAGCATTTTTCAATTTGTCGATCACGGCATTGAGAGAACTTTTGCGATTTCGTGCCTGCTGGGCTGCAATCGCAGATTTGCTTGCTGCATCGACCTGACCAGATGGTGGAGTACTTCCGCCAGAAGCTTGCAGAGAAGAGACTTGGGTGGCTTCGCTGCCGGGGGAAATCATCTCTAGCTTCATTTTACTGCTGGAGGATTTGGTCTTGGGACTCTGATGGCCGCTACCTGAACCACCAGATGAACTGACGGATGACGTTCGTCTATCTTTATCTCCACGACCGGAGGAATCTTTACTGGAGGACGAAGAAGAAGACTTGACTTTGGATGGGGTCGTTGCTGAGTCAGAAGAGCTACTGCTGCTGCTCTTACTAGATGGCGAGTTTGCCGCTGATTTTAAGGCGGACATACTGGGTTTGCCACTGCTTGCAGCCGAACTACCATGTTTTGGAGACGAAGTGTTGCCATGTTTCGGGCTCGCACTAGCAGGGACCGGAACGGATACCGCTACGGACGGCACGTTGCCCACTGTATTGGGCACCGTAGACACCGATAGCGACATCGGGACCGACATAGGAACCACTGAAACGTTCGGCGCGTTGTGCTTCGGACTGCTGCCATAGACAGGCGAGTGCTTTGGACTTTGAACTGGTTTACCACAAGTTGCTGCTGCCGATTGACCGGCCTTCAAGGTAGGACTGGACTTACCTACAAGTGTGGCGAGCGAACTTGAGTGAGTAGGTGAAGGACTGAATTTCCTTACAGCTGCGGGCGAAGTAGGCCGCGAAGATGAGCAGCTCAAACCAACACCAGCACTACCACCGCTCGGTGGTGATTGCTCGGTGCTAGGCTTGATACTCACTGACACTGGTTTCGAGAGTGGATCTTGTTGCTGTTTGCCACCCGATGGGACTTTGTCCGGTGGACCCATCGGACCGTCCTCTCGTTTACGTTTGCGCCGTTTCTCCAGTTTGCTTCCACCACTCTTAGTATCCTCAGAACTGCTTTTGCTACTGCTACTGCTGCTTTTTCCGCCACCACTCTTCCGTTCGCTTCGCTGCCGATCTTCCGTTGCGCTTGTCAGACTGCCGGTTTTCGGAGACGGTGTTGGACCGGCGATCGGAGTGATGGTGATTGAGCTCGGTAGATTAGTCTGCGATGGCGATGAGGCGATAGGTATGATCTCGATGCCAGGTCTCCTTTCCAAACCCATACCAGTCAATACGGAGTTATAGTTGGTGGTGCTCGCTTGATCCAGATTACCGCACGAAATTGGAGTGATACTTACTGATGGTGGTACCGGCAGACCTTTGTTACCATTACTCGTTGTCGATGTCTCGTCAACGAATATGTTCGTTGGACTCGATTTCTTTTCCTCGCTACCACCACTACTTCGATTCTTCTTCGATTTGCGCGTCGATGAGGATTCACGCATCTTTATCAATTCCTCTACTTCTTGTTGTGGTTGTTGCTGTTGTTGCTGCTCCGTGCTACTATGTTGCACTTCCATGATCTCACTGTCTTTCTCGGAATTGTCGAGATCGTAATCTGAGGCACTCTTATCGAGTATATCGGTAGTATCCAAATTTGAAAAATCCATACCACTTGTCAAACTAGTAGCTGAGGTAGGTGTAGATGTTCTAGTCTCTGCGAGATTCTCTCGACTCGTGGGCGTTCCCAACGGTGTGGAGTTTTCTGAACTTGAACTCTCCAGCAGGATTTCCGTCGCGGTGTTATTATCTCCGCCGTCGCTCTTTCGCTTGGGACTACGCCAAAGCCCGTCCGTACCAGTTTTCCTTTTGCGCGTCTTCTTGCCACGCTCATTCGTGTTTGAATTACTAGTTAGGGAGTTTTTTGCTTGTCCGAGCAATGCACCAAGCTGTAACGGGTTCAACATAGAAGTAGAAGTGCTGTTCGTCCCAGTGGTACTCATTGTCATTGTCGTCGTATCGGATTGGCCGGAATACGACGGAAAACCGATACTATTTTCCGTTCCGGCATCTAAAAAAGACTGCTGCTGCTGTTGTTGCTGCTGCTGCAATTCGCTGCGATTCGCTGACAACTGCTGTTGCTGCGTTTGTCTGCCTCCCATACACCCGTTGTTACCGTTATTCAAACCGGGCTCTTGCTTTATTTTCGTCTCGCCATTCGTAAAGTCCGGCATACCGGACGCGGTACCGGATGCGTTTTGTCCGGTCTGATCCTTACCACCGGATCCTAAATTGAGATTGTAGCTACCATTGCTGCTGCCACTACCGCTAGTCAAACTATTCATCACCGCGGGCAAAGAACGACCCTCCCAGATTTTTAATAGCATTCGCATAGTCAACGGGATGCTGAGGCAACGTTGCAGCACTCTACCGCTGAGATCCGATGTCTGTTCAACGTTCGTTGTCATACTCATGCCATACAACCGGCACTTAAGCATCGATATGTCTGTCAAGTCCAGTTCCGCGGTGGCCATTGTCTCTTCGTACGGATGTTCCACGCTCACGCTGATGTGTTGCCACGAAAGGGCGCTTACTTCAAGTATGGTAGTATGTTCTGGATCCTGACGTGCCATGGGCCGCACGCAGCTCGCGACTAGACAATTAAACAGCGCCTGCTGCCGCAGGTATACCAAGATCTGCGGCACATGTGCGGGATGCGTGAATGGGATACTACATACCAGTACACCCTCCATGTTCTTATTTTCTGTCATGAAGTAACAGTGTTGTTGATCTGGTAAGGTCTGCAAGAGAAAGCAGTATGATGAATCGGATATAAAGCTAGGATATTTCTATTATAATCTGTTACTTACCACATATAAGCCTCTGTTGTTTCGACAATCCAGCTGACCGTCGCTTGCATGCTGTATTATCAGACTGAGCAACGGATGTGGCGCGGAGATGTCGCCGCACTCGAGCTCCGTGACTTTCTGTATCCTCTTCACTAATTCCATGCAGATAGGCATCTTCTTGACGAGTTTCAGCACAAAGCAAGCTGGCAACATGGAGGAATTTGTACTGGTCAGCGGAGCATATGAAGGAGTGCTGAAAGAAAAAGGTAATGATAAAGAGCAAATTCATTTTATTGAAACTTGGATAAATTCGAAATGTAAATAACATAAAGAAATAAAAATATAAAAGATAATAAAAAATTTCTTATAGCTCATTAGTTTTTTAATATTTAACTTCAACATAGTATTGTTTAAATTGCAATGGAGATTCAATGCACAAAAAAATCAATTGCAAATTAAAAGTAAGTTTGACACCAAGTTTAATTAATACAACGACAGATAAAGAAATCAAATTTTTCTAGCTATTCTAAAGTTCTTTCGCTTCAATGCCAATATTTCATTCAACTTATTTTAATATAAGATAAAAAGTCTTGATAAATATTAAGTTTTGATCAATTAATTTTTTTTTTTGACTCACATACAAAATGGGTTTCGCTAATTTTATAACAAGAAGGACAAAGGATAAAGAAACAATCAACTGTTAGACATACTTATAGTTATTCAACTGTTAGATATATTTATAGTTATTCAATTTTCAAACAACAAAGAAATAAAACTTGATCTTACCTCTTGCCCGTGGGACTTCGATTCACAGTTATGATACTAGAAGTAGGCAGCTTGTGACCCGTTGATCCTTCCATACAAACAGTCACGGAGTGTCCGATCTTTCTTTTAATGATAGTATCAGAATTCAGAGCGTCATAAGTTCGATTTTCTTCGTCGATTAAATCGTATGGCGAGACGAAATATGTCAATTTCATCGGGTGACCGCCTCGTCTTCTTTCCAGAATTCCTAAATAAAAGAACGTATAATTAAATACATAACCAAAGTGCATATAAATCTGCAAATTTATAGCACAAAAAATAAATAGTATAGAAGATAGATAAAATCATACTTTTATATGTAAAATACAAAAATTAGTATATGTCAAGTCGCTAACCAACGGGACTCTTGTGAACCAGATTAAACGGCTCTTTCATGAATGTCTGCAGCTGTGCCAGAATACCCAGATCAGCCTCGAGGGACTGCAGGGCGCTGAATGCCTTGCATTTTACTTTCTTATCGGCATTCAGCTGGTAGATCGACGCCAATCCTTCCAGTTGCGTGGTGAAATCGACGAAATCACCATGCGACAAAGCCGAGGCGAGTGCTTCGCAACTCTGAAACAACAATTTTCAAAATTCATAAAGACATTTAATAAGAAACTATATGTTTCTTATTAATAATGTCGATAATTCTTACCTGTTGTTCACTTTTTCCCTCATGGTGGATTTTAACGTCCCTAACAAGACCTGATGGAGGCTCTAATAAGACCTCCAAAAAGAACATGTCGGAGGATATGAATATTTCCGTGCCTGGAGGACCAGACATCATGAACTTTAATCTGTGTAATGAGATAATTGTTTATATTTAAGCTCAATTTATTTTATATTGTATAAGAATTACCAAACAATGAATGAATGGTCGCATTCAGCAAACTCAACTGTTACGATCTTTGAGCGCTCGCTGCTATTGATGTCTCTTCTAGATCATCCAATAGCAGCGAACTGCTCATAGCGTTCACAGATTCGCTCCGCAACTGAATTTGCTGAACGCGACCAATGTTATTAATTCTTACCAGATGACAAATACTCACCCCAGCTGTCTTGCTAAGCTCTCTAAACGCTCTACCATGGATTGGAAAGAAGTGACCTTGATAGAATGCTGCAGGGTGTCCAAACATTTCTGCAATTGATTCTTTTCTATGCTGTCAATCGCGAATCGCTTATCCTGTATATCAAGAAGTCATATTTATACTTCAGCAAGCTTCAAAATGACAAAATAAGTAGAAATCACTCACTAGCATGGCCATGCGCATGTTTTTAGCAGTTTCCACCAAGGGTTTATATGTGGAAGACTTGGAACGCAATTTTTCCATCAGAAATTCCATTTGCCATTCCTTGCCCTTATCGGAGGCAGATCCTCCTCCGGGTGAAGGTTGCCCCACTGTGAAAAGTTTCTAATATACTGAAGATATTGAGACTAATACCTTTGTAAATATATTATTCCTCTTACTGGTTCACATTTATAATTCCGAATATTGCAAACAATGATTTTCATTTAGAAAATAAAATCAAGGTTTTCTATACACACAAAAAATATTACCAGTAAACTAAATGCATTACTTTGATACAAATTAATTTCTTTTATATAAATGTACAGCAAATAAATATTACTGCATTTTATCATATTAATTAAAAATTTCAAAAAGTCCATCCACGAATAAAAAGAATTGAAATTATACAAAAATTGCATGCTGTAAACTAGTTTATAGAAGCTGCACACTATTATTAGTAGGACATATAATAATTTCAGAAATAAAAGGAAAATTATATAGATACAATTGTGAATACAAATTATATAAATACAATTATATATGTAATTGCATAAATATAAATCATATCAAGACAAACACATTGCAATGTAAATACACTGCAATGTCTTTAAAAGATATATCATTTTAAATCGAACATATGAATAATTCTGTCAATTAATCATCCATTGATTTATAATTTCACGGACTGCAAACAAGACTTAGAAGCCAAATCGAGGTCTCCTGTACATACAAAATATTAGTTGCTAAGTGCTATAAATTCACTGCTAAATACATTGCTAAATTACCAAGAATCCCTTCAGAAATAAAAGCAAAATACAAGTACAATTGTGCACCAGTAAATACACACTGTAAACTGCTTTGCAGGACACAGCATTTTAAATAAAGGATATTAATAATTCTGTCAATTAATTAATCTACCACAGACTGCCTAATTTCACGTGTTGTAAAACGATTTTCGAGCTTTAGGTAGCACTGAATCGAGTTCACGCCTCGTGAAAAATCTCCCTCCGAACAAGAAATATTCCTCACCGTGGGGTTTCTGCCCGTTGGTCGCATCCATGTGCTTCGGTGATTGGCACGGATGCGTCCGCGATGATTCGCGGTGTTTTGTGCCTCCTTATACAGCACGCTATCGCAAAATCGCGATACTACGCGCGGCGGCCTGACTGGCCATGGCAAATTACAGAGCGGCCAGGTGATAACGGGAAACACGATTCCGAATGCAGTCCTTCGGATAATATCAGGACGCCAGTCTCCGTAATGTTCACCCCCTATATTCTGACACCACTTCTCTTGCGCTGTTGCTCGCAGTGCTCGCCAACAAATTCTTCCACCCACCCTAACCTAATCAAACGTAATCCTAACCTCACCTTACCCTGCGCGCATATCACCAGGTAGCGTTACTTGCTTTGTTTTGTAATATTTAAAACTTAAAATGCTACAAGAAAAATGTTACTTGCTACTTGCAAAAAAATATACTTGCTCCATTTTGTTCTATTTTTTTTATTTAACGCTACATCGCGTCGATCTTAAAAAGTTAACCACAAGTTAACTTTTTGTTCACTGAAACATATCTTACAACAGTATAGCATTACAGATATAATTACAATAATATCAATTGTCGTAACTCAAAATCGCAATACAAATATAATAAAATTAGTAGGACAAACGAGCAATTATTATAATAATCAAAGATTAAAACTAATTTATCAAAAAGGATTAAATACATCAAGAAAAGATTAAATACATGCATGTGAACATTCCACTATCAAATCTTCAGTCAAATTACAATAGAAAATAAATGAAGAGTTTGGAAACAAATTAATTATATGAAGTTTTTAATAATTAAAACGTTAGAGATGATATTAAAATATAAACAAAGATAAAAATCAATCATGAAGTCACGTCCATGATTCGACACATATTAATCATTTAATTAACATTAAAAAAAAAACCACTGAATATTCTTCTTTATACTATATCATTCTGGTCCATATTATAAACAGAAAAAGAGTAGAGGATTTAAAATTCAAGGATTTAAAATTCATGAAATAATAGAACATTTTTTAATTTAACAAACGTTTTTCTATATTACACGATATACGAAATTATACATAAATTTTTTATCTCAAATTGTTATTGCAAATTACAAGATAAACTCAAGTCAAGATAATTTCTTCGATGTACATAATCATTATAATGCATAATGATCGCAACAATATTATTATCAGAAATGCGTGGTTGCGAATCATTTATTACACAGAATCTCTTTATTGTACATAGTAAAAATAATGTATAAAAATAATCTCGGTACGAGATGTAAAATAAGTCATTCTTTTATATACACTAATCGCAAAAGCGCAATACTAGAGTCATTATAGCTTTGTCTTGTAACAATCAGACAGTGCGTATCACACGCTTACATCGCGTTTATTTTATGTCAGTTATAAAAGTAAACGCGGCGCAGCTTAAAATCATGGATAAAAATTAAGATGTGTGCCTAATTAACGAGTGATGTTATATATATTGCGATATTTGTACTGTGGTGTGTTTTTCTTAATCCTTTCCATCGTAAATTGTCCTCCTGATTTATTTGTGACCGAATACGGGTGCAGCAAAAATGTAACATTTTCGTAAAAAGTATCCAATATCATGACGAATTAAGATTAATTTCCTAAGATTTTTAATAAACAAGAGAAAATCCTAAAACTTCTATAAAGAATTCCTATATAAACCATAAATGAATAAAAATACACTTGAGCAAGATAAAATTGAGCTGCCATACATTTCTTCATGAAAGACAACAGTGCCAAATATAAAAAAATTTTTCATTATAAATTTTTGATTCGATAAAAATTATTTCACGTTCAATTGTAAAACGTGATCAAATTCTTTGTAATTCCTATAATACGTAATAAAATTCCCTGTATACATAATAAAAATAGATAAAATGAGTTTCGAATCGATTTTTAACTATAGAACACGAGTGAGAAAACCAAGAAGTGCGAAGAAATTTATTATAAATTTTTGGTGCTCGGGTGAAAGGAGATACGTTTGTTCCAGAGTTTTGGAACCGGTGAGAGAACCTGCTCCAGAAATAAGTGCCTCTTCTCTTTCAGATTGAAACGCATGTTGCACAGTGATTTGTCATTTTTCTCATCTCTTTCTATAGTCCAAGCGTGACTATCATTATTGTCCTTGTCATCATATATATTATTAATCCGTCTATTGTTATTCGACAAGCTTGGCGACAGATTCTCTTTATTTGGCGATTTTTTCGATATTGTGGGAAGAGTATTTCTCTTGAGAGTGTCGCTCTCGTCTGCTTCGGCAGTCTTAGTGTCGATGGGCCTAGCTTGGCATAGATTTTCGCCGTTTTCCACAGATACCAAGGGACTCATTTCAACATAAAGATCGCTCTCATTCGTGTCGAAATCATTCTTGCAATCCGCGAACGTGACCTGCCGCATAAGCTTGCTCGCCTTGTCCAGAATCGGTGAATCGGACAAGACAGCGTCTATCAGAGGCGTTTTCTTGATAGACTCTATAGCACAGCATCGGACGAATTCTCTGATCGCATCTATCTCGCGTTTTTCGACGTCTCGCGCGGTCAGATCAATCGAACCAGTCGTCGTTGAAGCGTTCCTGAGATCATTGTCGAATAATACTTTGGCAAAGCGCGCCTGCGCCATCAAGTTCTTGGGATTCAGGTCTTCCCAATGAGTCCCAGTGGTGTGATAGATATGTCGCGGCGAATTCTCCGCTGTATATCGCCTGATCTGATCTATCGTACTCACCAAAGTACTCGCGGAGTCACGCGATAGCTCTGACCCATGTTGAAACTTCTCGTCGGACGATGACAAATCATCGCGTTCCTCCAATATCGTGTCCAATGCGAGCATACCGCCCCGGTCATCGAACACCACCGGCTTGGCTATATATAGACTGGCATTTTGATCGTCGGACGTAGAGAATGTGCTGTCGCTATAAGATGATTTATTGCCCTTAGATTCCACCAGATCGTAAGTCAGGGCGTCCGCGTAATCATCCTGCTTTAATATCCCTCGTGAGATCATGCCGTCGGAGTATTCCGAGCTGTACGTCGTACCGGTCGTGCTCGTCAAGGTATCTCGCCGCCTATCGCGCACCACGCTATCGTCGTGGATGTACGTCTCAATGTCTGTATAACCCTTCCAGCTGCGGATGCACCAAGGCGGTCTAGCGATTCCTAACGGGCACACATTTTCGTAATCGTGGATTGACGTCACGCAACTCATTGTTTCGTCCCGCTGCTGTAGAAAAAATAACATTCGTTATTTTTTCGAAGAGACAGTAGCATAATGTAACAGAATAATAAGTAAAAAGCAATGTAATAAATAAGAGAAGATATAGTCAATCAAAAGTATTGCGTTATTTATGGAAACAAGGAAATTGTTATTTTAGTACTTGTATTGTTTTATGTTTTGATTTTTTAACAAAAAAATGCTTTGAAGCAAAAAAATAAAGAATTTATAATAATCACAATAAATAATTAATAATAATAATAATAAATAAAGAATCTATAATAAATAAGTTATAATGATTTATTTGTATTCTCTATATTATTGGGGATAATGCAAAACTTTTGATTTCAAATAATATATATTTAGACCTGCTGCTGCAGGTCCTTTGACACCTTCTCTATATCGAATATTCTGCTGCTCTCCAACGGCGTCGGGGTGGTTAGTTTTTCTCTGTTCTTGATAACGTCCAATGCTCCGATTACTTTACTGCAGGAATCCAGCGTGAGAGAATTGCTTCGTTCAGAGTTATCGAGACTACCAAGCTGGTTCAAATCAATGTTCAATATATCCGGTGCATGCCAGTCCAATTGTGGGGTGATATCGTGCTCGTAAATGCCGCGGCGTTTTCGGGACGAGTCAATATCAGGCAAGCCGGAATACAGAGAGTTCAACGGCGCGCTACTAGTAAGCGCGTTGTCCGGATTATCATTGACCAACGTGACTTCTTCCTTGTGTTTGACGCCGATGCGACTATGCGACCTCTCGCATTCTGTGGAGAGGCGCAAGGCGCTCGCGTTGAATTCGTTCTCCGAGCTGTAGTTGCGATTAACAATGCCTTCCTCTACACAATCGGAAATTTGCGCAATATTTGTAAGCAAAGATTGCTTGTCGGTAGGCACCTCCTCAGTCCTCGGCGAGATGTCCATGGAATGGTGCAACGACACTAAGGAATCGCGATGAAACAGCTTAAAGGATCTGGATGCGTCAACCTTCGTAGTTGTAGAATGCTCGCTGATATTTCGGGAGATGTTCGTCGCTGTTCTTGATGGATGAAATTTGCCATAATATAGTGACATGCTCGTCAGACCGATGAGCATACAGCTAACTATCACGGACGCAATCATGATCATCGCGATAGTTTCGCCGACATGTAACATGTATATGATCAGAAAGATCACATTCTGCGCTGCGATCACTGAGTAAAAGATGAGCACGCGGTAGCGCGATCTGTCGTCGCGTAAGTTAAAGAAGTCAAAGCAGTAGATTAGTCCGATGACACAATTGTAGATGCGCTCTTCCCACGCGGTAGAACAGAACTTTGTCTTCTGCAAGATCACCCAGATCGTCATGATAAACCAATGCAGACCTGGAAAATGACGATTACTTGAAAATAGGAGACAGCGTCACAGCGTGTTCTGAAATATTTAGACGAGCGACTCAACGTATTGTAATTTATAATCAGTCCACTTAATCTGTATTCTATAAAGATCGACTTTCTTTGTTTAAAATAGACTTAGGCCCAGTTTCACAACTCATGATTAATTTTCTAATGCTAGAATTGGAAAAATATGAGAAATAAATTGAACCTCGGTTAAGCATTAACCGTGAGTTGTAAAACTGAGCCTTAGTAAATAATTAAATTATTTCATATGAATGTAATATGGACTTCTGTATTCTAATTACAAGATTTTCTCGATAAAAACTCACCCAAAAATAAAAAGAACCATGCTTTCAAGAAGATGAGCGCTAACAGCAGAACTATGAATCTTGATATCAGCATACTGCTACGCCAAACAGCCTGAAGGGCGAGAGCGACCCAAGTCACGTTGTTGCGCTCGCGATTGATATTGTGCATGGCCTTAACGTATGTACTCACAGCCCACGTTAAGGAGCAGAAGGAAGTCACGGCGGAAGCGCCTGTGCAAAAATTGCATATGTTAATTTAATTACATTAATAACAATACTAACTCTTGGCTGGTGGTGACCGGATCACTCGAGACCTGGATCTTCAAAAATTACTGTTGATTTTCAAAAATTATTTCCTTTTTATATTAGGCAAAAATATAAAAAACTGAAAAATTGCTACTTTTTTATTGCTGTTTTACGTACTATTTATATGAGTGTAACTTTTTAATTATCCAATAGACAGTACGGATCAAGAATGACCCAGCCATAATTTCCCGAAGAGTTGAACTTGTAAATATACTAATTATAAAAATACTTTTTAATTTAAATACAAAAATATACCAAGAGATATTTTTTATTACCTTAATTATTATAATTTATATATCTTCCACATATATCTTCCATAATGCTAAAAAAAAAGAACGTTGAGAATGATAGATATTTATTTAATAATATCGCGATTATTATTATTCAGTAAACAAAACTTGGAGATAATTGAGAAGTGTAATAAAAAAAATAAAATAAAAGATACCAAAGAACTATTATATATTTTTGTAACTATTGTCCGTGATGGACTACTGCCTTCTTTTCGGCTATTTTTGAATACGCTTCGACATTACTTCGCAACGCTTCGCACTCTTAGTCGCTTTTATATTTAAAACTGTGGAGGAGGACGAGAGAGTCCCTCGTCTTGTGGAATTTGTATCATCGTATCGTTGCGTTCATACATTGTTCAGGAATAAATAGATAAACAGACTGATATTCCTTCCTTTTTCCTGTTATCTGCGGAGGCGGGTCATGAAAGAGGAAATGAAAGAATAGTATACGTGATTCGTTACGGATTCACAAATGTTCTGGCACTTTTCGAGCACAGCATCGATGGTACACTGGTACAACATAATTTCCAGCAGTGTTCTTCAGCGATTCATTGAAATGGTGTTTTATCGCAAGTGAATCATACACGTGACAAGGCACGATGCACACATCGCATAAAATAATAACGTCGAATGAAAATAAAAATTCGACGGTTTATCCGAAACTGAAAATCGGCTTTTATTACTATTCAAAAAAACTCCTTTCATCGATACAGGTAGGAACATGAAGATTCATATTTCATTTTTATCGATAACTGCGCGCATTTAGTATATACGGAAAGAACGATTTTATTGAAAGATCTAAAATATTATTGGATATAGATTTAAAATAATTGTTAGACCATCAAAATAATGATGTTGGAAATTAAAAAATGATAAGCATACTGCAAAAACTTTTTTTCAAAATTATTTTCAATTCTATATCCAGCACAGTTTTTGATCATCCAATAAAATTGTTCTTTCCATGTTTACATATATTGTAGAATCTACAAAATAAATCGCGCATTTATTGATAAAAGCGAAATATGAATATGAACCACAAGATATCCCAGATCAACCGTGTCTTCTTCTCTGATGCCATGTAATCCTCGCATGATTTTTCCGCGCTTCTTTTTTTTACAATTCTTCACACGGAAAAAAAAAATGATTCTTTATTCGTAGAAACAAGTCACGGTGATAGAGTCAGTCGCGATATTAGCGACGATTATGACATTGTTAATACTAGTGAACTTAACGCATATGGAGGAGACAAACATAGAGCCGGTCGCATCGTTGAGGTATGCATCGTCGAAATATGCATCTATTGCACGCGCCGTCGCGCCTGGAATAATGCTGCGAGCTCCGATGTCACGAAACCAGATGGAGGATGTTAAGCGTGAGTTGAACAGGAGAAGGTGGTGGGTGGCACGAATGTGTGAGACAATCGACACGAAGAAATCGCACACAGATGCTACGCTGACGAATATGATCATCGACACGTAAGCGAGAGAGATGCTAAAAAGTTTCTTAAAAATTATATATCTAATGATAAAAATTATACATTAGATATAAAATATATACTACACTAAAAAAAAATTATTTATTTTGCCTTCTAAAAGTAGGGAATTTTAAGAGAGTGTAATTTCGTCAAAAATTATCATAATAAAATGATTAAAAAAACATTTTAAAGCTTGAAATCTCTACTTTTTTTCAGAATGACACTTTAGATAATGATTTTAATATATTGTCCTGAAAAGTAGAGACTTCAAGCTTTAAAATGACAATTTTTGATAAAGTTACACTCTTTTGAAAATTGTCTATTTTTGGAGGGCAAAATAAGTGATTTCTTAATTTTTTTAGCGTAATGTAGGAATTTAATTCGAAAAGGATTAAAATATTTTCATCAAATTTTCGCGTCAAATTGCAAGAAAGTTTAACGATATTAAAAAATGCAATAATTTTGTCTACAAATAATTTTGATTCAAAATAATTTGAAGGGAACACAACGTATCATGGTGTCCGATATACAAGGCGGCGAGTTCCACATGGATGAATTACTTCGCTGTTCTAAAAGGCTCTTTGACGGACGCTACTATAGACTTGGTGCGTCGCAATCTTACGCAGATCAGCGATATCGTGAGGCAGAAGTTTCAGCAGAATGCAGATTTTAATAAGACTTATGAGGTACAAATTGTACTTTGTAATTCCTAAATCCATGACTGATTAATCATCATCTGTAGATAGCAATAAAAAAAATCTTAGATAAAAAATTTATAGATAGCAAAAAATCTACATAACAATAAAAAAGAATCTTACAAAATAATTTTTTAAAGTATTCCTAACAAAAGAGTTAATTATTAGACACAAAATAATAGTTTTTTAGATAAAAGAATCAAATCTTATTCCAAAGAATTTTTAAATAAAGAATGACAAGTTAAATTGCAAACTTTTCAAATGATTTTTAGAAAATGAGCAAAACAAAGAAGTTCCTCATTGTGCGACATCCATTGGAACGTCTCTTATCCGCATACAGAGACAAGTTGGAGCATATGCAGAATCGCGAATATTATTATAAACGCTTCGGCCGGCGCATTGTACTCAAATATCGTGAATTTGATAACACGACGAGATTAGAACCAACGTTTACCGAATTTCTACAATTTATAGTCAGTGAGAAGTACTTTGACGAGCACTGGGTGCCATATTATCGCACCTGTGAACCTTGCATGATCAATTACGACTACATTATGAAGTTCGAAACTCTGGACAGGGATCAGAATTTTTTCATACAGAATGCCAATCTGAACGGATACCTATATGAAACAAATTACTCGCGAAATATTAATCCATTGGGCACGACCACCAGGAAAACATTAAATGAATACATTAAGGGAATACCGCGATCGCTTCTCAATGAGGTTTACAAAATTTATGAGAACGATTACAAATTGTTCAATTATTCGTCTGTTTAATATTATCGATGTCTTTGCCAGATAACTTGCCAGATAACTCGGTTTTTATATGACGGTTTTTATACTGAAGAGATAATAAAACTTCATGAACATTTTAAATGTGATATTTTAATGTAAGAATTTAAAAAATTTTTTTCATTTTTTCAGATTCTTAAAGAAAGTACTTTATTTATTAAAATGTATGTTGAATAAATATCATTTTAAAAAATGCGTTTTTGTTTCTCTTAGATTTTAAATCCCTTGTAACATTGGGACTTAACAAAGAAAAACTAAAACTCGTTGACAAATATTACATTCTATTTATTTATCGTGAAAGAAATAATGAAAAAGTTATTGTAAAATATCTCTTTTATAACATAGGTATTCTTCCTAAGTTTTATTTAAATCAAACAAATATTGCAAAAAAAATCTGATTCAAGATGAAGCAAGCAGATTTTTCAAGCTTTTTAATTTGTATTATTTTCTTCAGCTTTTCCCTTCATATATAGCAGAATTTGCAGGAATATCGCTGCAAAATCTCTGCAATATTGCTGCAACATGCAATGTTGATGCAATGTTGCAGTAGTTGATGCATTATTGCAACTTTTGTATTATTTGTGATATAAAAAGATAAAGAAAGATTCTCTCTATTATCTTAGTATGTTTTTTAATAATAATTGTTTGTTTAGAAAGTCTAATCCCGAAACTATGAAAAACTATTCTAACGAGCTTTGATCTCTCCTATATTAATATTTACATTTAAACACACGTACACACATACATCATTGTATTATATAAAGTATAAAATAAGATAATTTAAAACTAAAGAGAACACTTACTCGTCCAAAACGGTGCGTGTTTCAACATTGCAATGATATATAACTGCAATATCAACTGCGGAGCAGCTCCCATAAATGACTTAAACAAGTGCAACATACATATATCGCTTTCTTGCCGATATACCCAATTCTTGTCCTTGCTGAAGCCAGACTTATTTCTCAAAGAGTACATCGCAGTGCAAAGCAAGGTCAAATACCTGAAAATAAATATAAATTGATTGAATAATTCATTATTAGTAGAGAATATATGCTATGTTCGTACACATTAATTTACGGACAATGAAATTATGGGAAAAACTGCGCAAAAATAAACATAAAATACCTGTGCAAAAAGCCAAGTAGGAGGATATGCAGCAACCAGTGAACAGTCCGTAGAGAACCGTCGCTGCGATGCCATCTCAAACTAAATAGTTGGGTAACACAAGCGGGTAAGACGGTGAAACCCATTGCAAAGCATCCCCACGCTAAGTGGCCTTGCAAAAGGTATTCCACACATACAATGCTGTCTGTGTGTGCGAAAAATATCTTACAAGGTGTTCGGTTTACGAAGACAGAAGCTTTCCCGCGCATGCTTTGAGCAAGTGTGCAAAAACAAGTTTTATCACGTATGTGACATTTACACGATTTCAGCACAAAAAGCACATTGAAAGACGCAAAAAGTATCGCGAGTTCTGTCATAATTATTTATAGTGTTAATTATAATTATAATTGTAAAATATAATAAAGTTATAATTAATATCAATTATATACAAATATAAAATAATTGTTAGAATTATTTATTGTGTTAATTATAACTGTAAGTCTAAAATATATAAGTTCTCCTCTCTTCTTGCAAATATTTTGCATTTTAAAAATGCAAACGTATAAAATAATACATTAACGATATAAAAATACAATTAAAAACCTACAACATTCTATGTTTTAGTATTTATTTTTTTAGTATTTATTTTAAGATTTTATTTTCATTAATCCTGATATACATGAAAACTTTATACATTATACATGAAAACTTTAAAAAAAAAAGATTGTGGTATTCAACAATATTCTTTTGAAAAGTTATAATTTTGCAATCGCGATACTTTTTACCAGCGTTGACATAAACAAAGCTGACGTAAGCATATAGGGTGTCCCGCGATCTCAAATTTTAGTGTCAGATTTCACGAATTAACTTACCGTGAAATATCGATACAATTTCTTATTCAGCGCGATTTTTTGCAATGGTCAACATTATATGTATATATCTTCGAAAAATGAAAGCTCTAACTAAAATTTAAATTCTGCGTTTACCTTCGTTTGATAAGTACATCTCAATTGATTGAGAATTGACAATTAAGTGAGTATGAATACACGATTTACGCACCAATAACTGCCGAGGCTCCTAGGTACTTTATTCGTATCAAATTTTCAAATTTTTCATCGAAATAGATTCGACAATAATCGAAGAATATGAATTTTGCAATCGAAGTTCGATCAATTCCATTCGGCCGCAACTTCAGGGCGATTACGCCTCAAAGAATTATTGTATCTTATCAATTTATAAATACGTAATTTACGTACCAAAAACCGCGGAGGTTCCAATAGGTATTTTTACTTGTTAGATTTTTTTAATTAAAAATTGTTTGCTTAGTAGAAAATGAAAGAATACAAATTTTGCAATCGAACTGAAACTGCAATCGCTCCGTTTGACTCGACCGCAACTTCACGGTGTTCGACTGTGCCTCGAACGGACCTGTCAACCCGGATCGAAATTACGAGAATCGCAGGACATCCCGTGTCGCACGCACACGCGTGTGCCACGTGCACGTGTGTGTTGTGTGTATATGCATGTGGCCACTCTTTGTTCACCTGTTGCTACGTCCGCGAGAAAGAAAGCAACCGAAGACGCGTAGTACAGCAGATCGGCGGCGCGAAATCGGTAAAGCTCAGCCTGCCGGCGCGGCGTCGCCGCGCGCGGCTCATCCGCTCGATCCGCCGTTGCGTTCTCAACGTCACGCGGAACGTCGGCGCACTTCACCTCGCACGACTCCACCGCCGCCGCCATCTTCCCGCATCCTCGCCCGGCGCGACGCGCCGGCCATTCGCCGATTCGCGATTCCCGGCGTCCTTCGGATCCGTCCGCGTCCGGCGTGATGTCGCCGCGACGCGATTCACAGATCGGCTTTCCCACCCGCACATGCGCGCAACGCATCTACTTCCCCTTACCTCCTGCCGATAGATGCTTTTATCAATGGCCGCTTTTATCAATTCAAATCGGACAAAACTGCTAATCTGCTCGCCACGAGCGATTGTATATAATTGGCTGGATCTATAAGTAACTTAACCAATCATATTCATTAGCTGCAGAAAAGAAGATTTAGCAGAAAAAATAACTTTGTGTTAAATTCTTTAATATGATTGGTTTTGCTCTTAGTTCCTCACTGGAGTATAAACCAATCACATATTTAAGAATTTTACAACAGTGTAAAGCTTTTTCTGTTGAACGCAGCCAATGGGTGTCAAGACGGCAAAGCGGCTAGGCATGCTTACCGAGTAATTGAATATAATTGGTTGGATCTATAAATAACAATCAATTATATTCATTTGCTCGGCGAGACAAGCCGCTTTGTCGATTTGAGCGCAAGCAATGTACAAATTTTGATATATATTATGACGTGCAACTTATTGCCATGTCGCCAAGAGATTATATACATATATTTTTTAACATTGGGCGCATTCGACAAAGCTTGGCTCGCCAAGCAGATGAACATAATTGTTACTTATAGATCCAACCAATCATATTCAATTGTTCGGCGATTGATGCTTAACTGTTTTACCGTCTTGAACTCGCCCGTTGACATTTTTTTCTACAAGTTTTTCACCATATTAACATTAACGTCTTTCGGAAAACGATGGAAATAAATAATTATGATATTGCACGACAATGAAACATAGTAAATAAAAATACAACTGTATTTTTAGAGTTTTCCTTTTATATACATTTATATACATTTTTATTCGACATGTACTCATTTAAGAAATGGAATGGATATGGCCTTCTCTCTTGTTACGATTTTATCGACAGTTTCGTAAAATAAATGCGGAACTTAGTTTCCAGATCACTAAAATGGACATTGGCGCGCTGGTGTACGGGGAACAAAAGATTGGAGTGATTGGATTTCGGACTTCAAAGTCGAGCAGATAGCATTGACAAATGTGGATCTCGCCGAAGGGCCAAAACATGGCGAGCTTCGATGACTAGACGTGTACGGAGTAGGTTCCATACACACATTCCTGATCTCCCGTCGCAAGTCATTGTCTCTGTCCGGCGATGGACCGTGAAAGATCGACAGAGTATCGTAGAATATCGCGGCATCCATTAGATTGAGAACGTTGCGTCAAGAATCTTCGATTGTGTTTAACCTTCGAACACCAACCGAAGTTTGAAAATTGATGAGACTTTCGTGCTCTGAGAGGACTTTACGTTGAAGAGGGGGAACATGAGAATCTTAATTACAGAAAATGTCCCGTCAATTTCTCTTAAAGGAATGAACATGATCTAATTGTCTCTGTAATTGTTACGAGTGTTATCTTTAATTTGCGCTGAAGGTAAGTTTTGAGTCTTGCCAAGCATGATTAAGCAGGACGCATAAATTTTATTGAATCTTTAAATTATAGTATATTTCACAGAATAATTATATATAACGTTAGATTTTGTATTATTAATATAATAAGCAAAACATTTAATTTCAGGATTGAGTTAGTGCTAAGTTAAAAAGATAAAAGTTAAGTTAAAAAGTTAAAAAATTAATTAATTTTAACTTAGTTACATTTTAGATTCTTAACTTTTTAACTTTATTTAGTTACATTTTATCCGTAACTATTAATTTTTTATTTAAAAATTAATTTTTTCTTTGAAGTAAGTCTCAGACATAATATTGCGACAATAGCGATAACTTAAAATGAAAATTGCAAAAGTAAGCAAATTTACTAAGTGTTGACCAATGAAATTATAAATATTCTAGTGAATTTGCTCACTTTTGTAATTTTCATCTCATTTCAAATTACATTATCGATATATTTCAATCTTTATATTTCAATCTGTCAGAAACCATGTATTTCGATGTATCTAGTTTTTAGATAGGTTGAAATCTATTATTATTATCGCTACTCTCTTGTATTGTGTCTGAAGCTTTAGTCATATCATAGGCCAGCATTCATAATTCATAGTCGAATCTTATATACTAAACAGTATATAAGTAAATAAAATATGTAAATACAATATAGAGTATTTTCTAAATGAAGTATATATTTGTTATTTCTGTTATTTGTAAGATTAAAATCCTGGAATCATGAATTAAAAAAATATAAAAAAACAAATTTAACTTTTAACTTTTCAATTAATTTTTTTTATTAACTTTTAATTCAATTAATTTCATTATAAATTAACTTACATCTTAACTAAGTTAAATTTTCAAGATTATTAACTTTAACTTAGTTTTTACTTTTAAAAAAAAGTTAATTTAGCCAACCCTGCATTTAATCAAGTTAAAATGTCATTGTAAGAACAATTCACTCACTATATATTAAAGCTTAAACAACAATAAGACTTCTTATCAAATTAAAATATTTTTGGCTGTAAGGAATTAAATGGAATACAATAAAAGTGCAATACAAGATAATACTGGATAGATGAGTGTATATAAAATTTATTTATTTACTTATTTATTTATTTATTTATTATT